ACAAATACAAGAACCTTAGAACCCTCTTTGGATCTGATGGAGGATATGAGATCACAGATCCTCTAATCCCTTTATAGAGATGTGTTTATTTATTTTCTAAAGAGAGAGTCTACCCCCCTTGGGAAGTCCTCTCTTCCTATTTATAAGGGGTATCCCTAGAAACCCTAAAAAGTACAATTAGAGGGAATATCCAGTAGAATATTCCCTTTGAGGATTCCAAAGCAAACTAGCTGTTACATATATCTTTACTGCTTGACCTCGACCTTATTGATCACTACTCGACCTCGGCCTTATTGATCACTACCCGACCTCGGCCTTATAGATCACTGCCCGACCTCGGCCTTATAGATCACTGCTCGACCTCGGCCTTATAGATCACTGCTCGACCTCGGCCTTATAGATCACTGCCCGACCTCGACCTTATTGATCACTGCTCGACCTCGGCCAGTTGTCTCCGCATGTCGAATTTCTCTTATCTGATTTTGACCCATACAGTTAGTCCCTTCGCTTATCGAGGTCGTCTTTTAGTCGTGCTCCGTGAGCGGACTTCATTAATCGTAGTTCGAGAAATTCGGATGGGGAGGTCGACTAGTGTGGATCGCAACTGAGGGTGCCGATCTTCGAGTCAAAGTGGTATCCCCGCGGGCTGAATTTGAGCAAAGTTCGATCAGGGCCAATGACTCGAGTGATGAGTTAATCGAGAAGACGGTAGAGTTGGAGAAGGACGACGAGGCCGAGATGGTGGCTTTGGCAAGGACGGCGGCATCGGAGGAGGTCATTCGCGTCCTCAAATCTGGACGGGCGATTCGGCCCTTGTAACATGCTTCTTCTGATACTTCTTTTGATTTGGAATGCTACTTTTGCTGCTCATTCCTGATTCTATTTTTCTTTTCTTGAACATTTTCCTCGATTGATGGTTTCAAAGGAATCGTTGGTAGGTGTTAATTCGAACGTCATCGAGTGTCTTTGATTGGTACGAGCGAAGTCAAACGTTGCCCTATTCGACTCGAACGAGGTCTAGGTGTCAATCAAGTTTGAGCTAGGTCGAATGAGAGTTGAATTCGAGTAAAGTCGAATGTTAGTTCGGGCGAGGAGGCCGAATGTTAATTCGAGTGAGATCGAATGAGAGTTAATTCGAGCGATATAGAATATTAGTTAATTCGGGCGAGGAGGCCGAATGTTGATTCGGGCGAGGAGGCCGAATGTTGATTCGGGCAAGGAGGCCGAATGTTGATTCGGGCGAGGAGGCCGAATATTAATTCGGGCGCGGAGACCGAATGTGAATTCGGGCGCAGAGACAGAATGTGAATTCGGGCGAGGAGGCCGAATGTTGATTCGGGCGAGGTTGAATATAACCTCTTTAATTGATGCGGCGTCGCTTTGGCGAAAATGCGGGTGAGCTTCATGCACTCATGCTTTGCCTACATATATCGGAGAGATTTACATGTTTTTCTTGTTGGCAGTCCAGTCCCAGTCCCAGTCTGGGAGAATGCTCCTGATTCTATTCCACTTAGAAGAACAGTCAATTAAAACCAAATGAAATCAGTAACGAATTTAATCGGTCGACGAATGGAGGGGAGTGACCACGTTCCCTTCTCTGGTTACGCTTTTAGTGGTCGCTACCAATTTGGCAAGGTTGTCTGCTTCGATATTCTATGCTCAAGAGATTTGGTCGAGCTGGCATTCGTCGAATTCGGGTAACAGCTTGCAGATCTCCACGTGGTATTCTTGCAGTATTTGTTCCTTGATTTGGAAAGTCCCTGTGACTTGATTGACAACGAACACTCTCAAATATATCCATGTTTAATTGTTTCGAAGTTGTAGAGTGGCCGCAGGACCAAACGCAACACAATCCGATGAGAAAGCCTCCAATCTTGGTGCTTTTTTAATAAACTTTTACCTGAGTAAAGTGTCACTGTTTGGTTGGTTGGTCTTGTATGCAACTCTAAATGAGCCATAAGAGAACTTGATATATTAGCAATCTATATAAAACTCATTTGTGTACTATTCATGTGCTTAGTAAACTCAAGGCCAAATATAATGGCCCTTCAAACTTGGCGCGGAGTGTCTGTTAGACACCTTAACTTTGTAGAGGTAGACAGGCACCTCAACTAATAGCCTGTTTGGCCAAGCTTCTTTTTGGCGAGAAGTGTTTTTTTTTTTTGTCAAAAGCACTTTTGGCCGAAAATTGAGGTGTTTGGCCAAGCTTTTGGAAGGAAAAAAAAAGTATTTTTGAGGAGAAGCAGAAACAGTTTTGGAGAAGCAGAAATAAGTAGCTTCTTTCCAAAAGCACTTTTGAGAAAAATACACTTAGAAGCAGTTTTTTAAAACTTGACCAAACACTAATTGTTGCTCAAAAGTGCTTTTCAAACTAATTAGCCAAAACACAAACTACTTCTTACCAAAAGTACTTTTGAGAAAAACATTTTTGAAAAAAGCACTTCTCAAAATAAGCTGATTTTTGCAGCTTGGCCAAACGGGCTATAAGAACTTTTATTATTTCAGAAAAGTCAAATCAAATAAGCAAAAAGACAAGTCAAGTCAACAGGGAAAAGGCGAGATATTACTATCAAAATCAGGAGCAGATTCTTGCTTTATCTCGTTTATAGAGAATAATATTTAATAATGTAATATTATACTTGAAAGAAATGGTTGGTTATAAGAAGTCGTGCTAGTATTTGAATACTGTAATATGAGTACGTTTCCATTCTCTCCATTTACAGTAACAAACATGGATTAAAGGAAGGAGAACTGAAAAATATGAATGATTATGCCGAAGATATCACTCATCTGAATTGAATATCTTATCCTCATATTTTTTAGAAATCTAGAGAAAACTAGAATTTTAACTATAAAGTCCCCACAGACAGTACCAAATTGTTTGACCAAAAAAGTATGAGATCTTTTTTGTTAAACTAATTAAATAAGAAGATAGAGGGTAAATCCTAGTTAAGGATGATTAATTCTAGATCTGTGATGAATAATATGAATAGAAAACATAGCTGAGTATAAATGCTGGCAGTAATTATGGCCAGATTCAATAGCGTGAAGAAAGGTGCATTAAGTAACATTAAATGGCAATAAAATGTAAATGAAGGAAAAGATTCACCCAATCTTGAGTGAAGCGGATCCTCTTTCATTTGATAAAGATGAATGATAGACAAATACAAGAACCTTAGGACCCTTTTTGGATCTGATGAAGGGTATGAGATCACAGATCCTCTAATCTCTTTAGAGAGATGTGTTTATCTATTTTCTAAAGAAAGAGTTTGCCCCCTTGGGAAATCCTTTCTTCCTATTTATAAAGGGTATACTAGAAAACTCTAAAAAAGTACAATTAGAGGGAATATCCAGTAGAATATTCCCTTTGAGGATTCCAAAGCAAACTAGTTGTTACATCTATCTTCACTGCTCGACCTCGGCCTTATTGATCACTGCTCGACCTCGGCCTTATAGATCACTGTCCGACCTCGACCTTATTGATCACTGCTTGACCTCGGCTAATTGTCTCCGCATGTCAAATTTTTCAGATCTGATTTTGACCCATACACTACTATCATAACTGCTCTAAAAAAAAATTACTGTTGAGCCAATTTGGCACACTTGAATGAAGGCCGCTATCAATCGTTTCATTTTCTTTTTTATGTATAACGTACTATAATATATTCTCCGGATATATACAAAGGTCCATACTGGAAAAGCTCATACCGGGCTGAAAATTTTAGTCACCTTTGACATTATTAAAGCTGAAATATCCGACGTTTGGTTCGCGTAAAAGATGGTAAGAGAATGAAGAGAGTTTTGTCGTTTACTATGGTAATAATAAAAGTATAAGCCATCACTCCCGTACTTAGTACTGTCAATCACATTATATATGCACATATGATATCATAAAGGTCCTACGCTTCCCTTTTCACCTTTTGCCAAATAGCTCGAGGGTAGGATGAATTAATTCTCCCTACAGAACTAAAGTTGGTGTTTATATATCACATGCAGATCTTTTCCCACTTAATCAACACATTCTTGGGCCCTTAAGCTCTTTCAACCAAAGATTGTGACTCATTTGTAATACCAAAATCCAGAACATGACGTGAGAATGGTCATTCAGAGATCATTATCATTCTATCATTAAATCTATCCTCAATAATTGCAATTATTGAAGTAGTCTTAAGGAATAAGATTGCTAACACTTTTTCTGGATGGTGGGTAATTTTCCATGGGCATTGCAAAGTTAAAAGGAATGAAATCAGGTTTGGATTTCTGTATCTCCGCCAAAAGCAACGGAATAAGTTCCTCTGCAAGATAAGGGTTATCACCGATAGCTTAGCAGCTTTTGAAGATGAGATGACACTGACACTGACACAACCCCATCCCCATTATCTTATTTAGTCTTTAGTTTTAGCTTCCCATCGCTCATAGTAAAAAAATTCAGGTTGATGCAAGAAAACCCTGCTTACACAAATTTGCTACGAAAATACATTACCCAAATGGATAATCCTCAATAGCTCGTATGCCAATAAAGCCAGTTTAAGAAAATATGAGTTGATGCTAATCTCTTGATTATTCTATTGAATACTTGCTGTCTCCTACTAACATAGCCAACGAATTACTCTGCCCATCAAAATTCAGGCGAATAGGGAAAAAATTGTCAAAATCTTTTGTCTCAACCGGAGCTGGGAACTGAAACTAACCTATACTTTTCATCCCACCTAATTGACTACTAGACCACACCCCTTGATTGCTTAATTTGAAACCTTTTAAATACAGCAGCAACTAAAACACAACCCAAAATTGGCATGCCACAAAAACCCATACCAACATGTGTCTCATACCCAAATAGCAAGACTAAGAAGGGAAAAAACGAAGACGAGCTATATCACTCACACTGCTAAAAATTACGAAGACACAATTCACTGCAACAGGTAAGGATGATAATTCCTGACAATTCAGCTAAAAGCAATTCATTCCACTGCCTTCTAAATTGCATTGGCCAAAAGAAATAAGAGCAAACCAAAATTTTAAAAATAACAATATTAAGCATTATATTACCCTTTTTACCGTGATAATGCAGTTACCTCCAAATATCATGAGGGTCTGCTATTTACAAATCCTTTACAGTAACTACTTTCCTGCAACTCTACTGACAAACTTGAAAAACTGAAGCACAATTGCTTGTCAACGTAACTTCAGAATCTCTATCATAAAAGCTCAATACTAACATAAGAGACTATTGGCACCCAGATACCACAGAAACCTCTTCTCTACTCGCTTTGTTTCCCGACTCAGCCCTTCAATCATTGGCCCCAAATGCAAGCCCTAATACCAAAATGTTAATGACACAACATCAGTATCCTGGTATGTCCCCCAAATAACTAAAACATGGACAGAAATCAAACATAACAACCTGCCATAGTTAAACAAAATAAAAGTGAAAGGAACAAAACTTCACTCCTTAGATCAGAATTCCTTCTAATGCCGGAGGAAGGGTAATCATACTTTCAGACTAAAAGAAATAACTTCTCCATACGGATAAAATAGAGAACAGCAACACATCATCAGACCAGTCGGGCGGGCTAACTCCACAAGAAGAGAAATAATTTATCTATAATTCAAGGATCAGAGCTAATAATATTCATGCCTTGAGAGGATAAAACTCCTCTTCTTTGAACAAATAATATAAATTCCTGCCTGCGTCCATTTTGAGTGGTGCAGTTAGTAGGAATATAACAATGACAAATATAAACCTGCTGGACTTCGTTCTAGAAGTAAGAGTGCAACGCATGACGTGTGGATTAAGTGCACGTTACAGGTTTGAAATGCTACAGAAAAAAACTGGTATTTACGCGGATAAGGACGGCAGGGAGCCCATTATCTGTCAGAATTTCGAACAATACATCACTTGCCCTTGGAGATTTCTAGATTATTCCCCAAAAAAACAATGAAAAATATACGTCTTTCCTCACTATGTTAGGTGGAAGGAGAGCTCAATCCCTACCAAAATGTACATGGTACTCGTAGCACAAGTATCAAGAGGATGCTATGTCAAATCCTTCTCCATCTATGCAAGGCGAAGGAGTACACAACTCCACTTGGATCCCACAAGCCATTAAGCAGANGATGACATTGCAACTCTTGATCCTTCTTGTTTTACTGTTCAGGAATATGGTCCATGGTTTCATCTACCATTAGCCGAATAGTGTGGAGTTGTTGGGCCTGGCCCATAAAAGGAGGCGTTAATATCACTTCTTGGTGGCATTTATTTTTCTTTTTGGAAGGGAATTTAGTATATGAAATCGGTGAATATAAGCATTGTTGCCAAAGGTGAAAAGCTCTAAAAAGCGCTCCAGATCTATTGGGGCTTTAAGCACAAAGCGCAATTTAAGTGTGAGCTTTAGTTAAAAGAGGCGCTATAAATTTTTACTCTTTTCCTAATTTATATATATATATATATATATGTGTGTGTGTGTGTGTGTGTACAAATTAAGAAAAGAGTAAAAATTTATTCATAATGTTTTCCTCAACAACTAATACACTTATTTGCCGATTATATTTGTTGTTAATGCTTGATTCAAAAAGAACTCACGGGCAATGAGTGTGCACGCCTTAGTCAAGTGGCAAAGCTAGGAATTTCCCCAAGGGTGTTCAAATTCAAAAGAAGTGGAGAACATTTCCGACAAAGGGTGTTTAATATGTGTTATATACTTCTAAAACGTTCCACCTTTTCTTGAGCCGAGGGTCTTTCGGAAACAGCCTCTCTACCTCTCCAGGTAGGGGTCTGCGTACTCACTACCCTCCCCAGATCCCACCTGTGGAATTATACTGAGTATGTTGTTGTACTTCTAAAACGTAATATTTTACCTATGTACATAGTGCAATTTTTCGACGAAGGGTGGTTAGTTGACCACCCTTATCACCATGTGGCTTCGCCACTGGCCTTAGTGTCTTGCCTACGCTGAAGCGCAATTTAAACGAGGCGAAGCGCACTCCCTGAAGCTTTTTCAAAGCGAAAGCTTCAGGGCTTAAGCTTGCCTTAAATGAGCCTTTGACAACATTAAGGGGATGGTGAGAGGTGCGGTACGTTTTATAGAGAGGAAAAAAAGGTGTAAGGGTGATAATTTATTTGAAGTGACAGCTAATGGCAAGCGATGGTGAAAAGTTATGAATGAATTGAAAGGGGTGGTTTTAAACAGACGTTGATTCAAAAATGTATAGTAGACATTTAACAACACTCGAAAATTAATCCCCATGGATGAATGTGTTAAAGTTCAACAGCTACACCTTTAAAAGTAAATACATAACTCCAAAACATTTAAATTTTGTTTCAAATAAGCTCATATGCACCACATGTTACATCTAAATTATTTATAAAAACGGCTACATCTAATCATGAATTTCATATCTACTTCTTATAAGATTGTGATGCCTAATCGGATCCTTATTTAGTAGTTGCAATGGCCATTATTGGAGCTTATTTTCATTTAATATTTATCACTTCATCTCTAAACACGGGATAAATATCATATTTAGTTTTCATTTAATGCATATTTACTTGCTATGTTACTCGGACTTTCCGAAAAATGTCGTCGGGTGCTTGTCGGATCCTCCAAAAGTAGTGTAATTTGGAGGATCCGACATGGGTGCGGCATCATTTTAGAGAGTCCGTGCAACATAGTTTATTTTTGCTTCGTGAGATTAGGCAAAGTAATCCGACATCAAAACCCAAGTCTTTGCAAAGTAATTCTAGAATCAACAATGACATAACTGGAAAAACACGGATACGTAAGAAATTAATAAAAGATAGTGACCCCCCCCCCCAAGGGATCCTTTGATTTATAAAAGACATTGACCATGAACAAAAAGGAAAATTACTACACACAGATATCTAATCAATCTCAACAGTATTGACTAAGGTACCTTCTTCATTTTGCTTCAATAATTCCTCGGGGAAGTCACCTCTAAGAATTTGAACCTAGAACATGACACTCTTATTTGAACTTTTAAGAAGTTCAAATACAAGAGCATCTCCCTCCTCCAGGTTATTGTCTTTAACAAATTCTTTTATCCCCTATTAAGTCTCTTCTTTTTTCGCTATTAAGGGACATTGCCCATCGATCCCCTTCACAACATATAACAGAAGGCACCGCAACATCTTGAAGATGATTATTGACTTTTCCCCGCAGATTTTTGTGGAGCAAAGGAGTCCCAACCAAGTGTGTAAGTTGTTGTATCTTAATCTTACCCTCCTCATTTTTTTATGCTTTGTGCTCAAAAATACTATCTACCCAGTCAATGATGTTCCTAATCTGGAAGTATTGGCAGAAAACTTATACTGCAGCGCTGATTCTTTCCTAACAACTTATGTAGGACAAAAACTTGGTACTAAATTCAGATCAACAGAAATCAGGAATGGTGTAATTAAGAAGTTCCAAAAAAGCCTTGCTACTTGCAGATGTTATATCTTTCAGTGGGAGGCAGACTTACACTTATCGACACATGTTGGATAGCATTCTTACCTACTACATGTCACTCTTTTCCATCCCAAGTAAGGTGCAAAAGCAACTGGACAAGATAAGAAGAACCTTCCTGCAGAAGGTAAACAGCAAGGAGCACAAGTGCCACTTGGTAAAGTGGTCAAAAGTCACAGCCTAACTCTCAAGGTGGTTTGGGTATTAGAGATCTTGCTGCTCAAAGCAAAGGTATGTTAATGAAATGGCTACGGAGGTATGGCCAGGAGGAACCTAACCTTTGGAAAAAGGTAGTGACTGCAAAGCATGGAGTTCAAAGTCAACGGTGCACCATGCTATCAAGGGCCCCTCATGGTGTTGGTCTCTGGAAGTGTATACAAAATCTTTGGGACGAGCTCTTTCAGAACATTTCTCTTTGTAGGCAATTAAACATCAATATTTGGAAAGACAAATGGCTGGATAACTCAACTCTAAAGAATGACTTTCCAAACCTTTTCCAGTTTCCTGTGCCTCATATTCTACCATTTCACATAATAGAGAAGGCAGCACCTGAAACCTACACTTCAGAAGATATGGACATGATTGGGAGCTTGAGGACCTACTTGCAAGACGGGAGATTTGCACAGTAAATGAGCAGACGGCTGATACCTAAGGTGGGGCAATAAGACTGATGGTACATACTCTATTAAAGCAGGCTACTCACACCTGTGTGCTCAAAATGAGATGGTTGACACTCGGCCCTGGAAACTAATCTGGAAAACAAAGTCACCATTAACGGTAATTTTTCTTGGTTTGACAGAGCTTTATGAAGCATGTGACCCAGGACAACTAAGCAAAAGTGCCATATAAACTGTCGATAGATGTTATATATGTCACCAAATTACAGAAACCAATAGACACCTCTTACACCGTACAGCTAGAGCATGTTCCTCTCAGTGTTTGGACTCAGTTGGGTCATTCCAGAGAATATTAAGGATGCCTATGAATGCAAGAATTCTTGGAAAGTTGGTTGATCTATCAGGAAAATCTGGAAAATGATGTCTGCTAGCAGTTTTTGGAGTGTTTGGACATAATGGAGTAATAGACGTTCCTATGGAATATCAACTCCAAACCACTCCCTTAAGCCAAGATGTCTTTTATGTCTATTTAGTGGTGCAATCTATCTCCTGTAAATACCCTGTTAAACAGTTTGGACTTTGTTAGTTCCTTAGATTTAGCATAGAACTTCATGTAATGGACCTAACAAACTCTCTTTTGTACTCTCTGCATCTTCTTGATGCCATATATGAAACTACTTACTCCATAAAAAAGAAACACAGACGCACACAACTCTTTAAGCCAAAATCACCAAAGGAAAGCTTTAATTCTTTGCTCTTACAAAGATTCTAAGTGCAGTTTGTCGTCTTGAATCACACCAAATATATAATATTCATGCATATATATATATAACCCTCGGGGGTTGGCCTGGTGGCAATTGACTTGAGCCTTGGGGTTTGCTCCCTTTCAAGGTCTCAAGTTCGAAACCCACTGGGTGCAAACAATTTCTGAGGGCCATCGGACTGGGTAAAACCTGAATTAACCGTGGTGCACTTGCGGGAAACTCCTTGCCGGGGGCCTGTGCACCCCCGGGATTAGTCGGGGGCTCTTAGAGACTAGGACACCCGGTGCATATATATATATATATATATAAGAAAAAAGATATTACTTGTGCAATGTGCCATGAATAACAAACTGATCATATGCACAGAATATCATATAAACGTTCGGAAGCAAAATTGGTAAACATACCCGAGGCTGCCAATGCCATCAATAGGCTCCAGAAGTTGCAATTGATGTTGTTGTTCTGGCTGCTGTTGAGGCTCAATTTGCTGCAAAGGCTGCACACTACCACCCTCCATAGCTGCTGCTGCAGTAGCTGGGGTCCCCTTTCCCTCAATAAACCGCCACATATACCATGCCCCAATGGACCGATATGGCCTCCATTTCTCACACAATTGCTCCATTTGCGAAGGCCTAGGCAATTCCTCCAACCCATACAGCATTTGTACTCCTTTCCTAACCCCCAAGTCGCTAACAGGCAACACGTCCGGCCTGTGCAGGGAAAATATCATGAACATATGCACTGACCAAGAACCAATCCCTTTCACCATCGAAAGCATTGTAAACAAAGACCTGTCATCCATCTTTACAACAGTATCGTCCGCTAAAATCCCGGTTTTATACTTATTCGCAAGGTCATAAAGGTAACTCGCTTTTCTCCCCGAGATACCAATCTGCTTAAGCTGCTGAGCAGATAGTGAGAGAACCACGTCAGGGCAAACGGCATCCTCGCTGCCACAAAGGGAGACAAAACGCGTGTAAATGGAAGTGCCCGCTTTATAAGCTAACTGTTGATAGAGAATACTCTTGCAAAGCGCTAGAAATGGAAGTTGGTGTGAATCAAATGCAGGTAAAGGAAGGGTATCTATTAAGGAGCAAAGAAGTGGGTCCGCTAAGCGCAGATGGCGAAGGGCATTTTCGATTTCTCCATTAGCAGATAATGGTTTGATTACTTGAGGCAAAACCCTTGTTAATTGCGATGCACTCCTCCGACGATTTTTGGTGATTGTCACTTTGCCGTTTGATGTGACTACGGATTGCGAGGAATCCGCGGGTTTTGGATTGGTAGATTGAGGGGAGGTAGTGGAAGAGAGTTTACGGATTTTCTGGGGGCGAATGGGGATTTTAGAAGGGTTTGAGGGATTTGGGGGAATATCGACGGGAGGGTTTGTTGATAAAGTGGTGGAATCAGAATTGGGTTGAGATAGGGATGGAGTTTGGGGTTCGGTTATTGTTTGTGTTTGGGTTTGCTCGCCCATCAGACAATTGCTAGTGTTATTTTCCCAATGATGGCGGAGGAGGAGGAATCGGTGGTGATTGAGAGAGGACACGGCGGCGGTGTAAAGTAGAAGTCAATGCAGTGAATAGTGTTTTTTAAGAGCAAAAAGTAAAAGGGGTTCCGATTGGCTTCCTTAAGATCGTTTTACGGTACTTCGCTTCGCCTCTTATGTCATTTAAAATTAAAATGGTCCCCCAAATTTACATTTGGCACAATCGTTCTTATTTTACTTACTCCTATTTTCTAACATGCCAATTGCATGATAGAACTTAGAAGCACTTCAATTTTCATAAAACTTTGAATTCAATACAAAACATTTTATTCCTAATATAAGATTAGTGATTAAGAAATGACAACTTGAACCATAGTATAAAACTAGCGTTTGGACATAAATTTTGTTGAAATTTGAAAAAAGAATTTTTGAATTTGTGTTGAGAAATAATTTTTGGAAGTTGAAGTTGTGCTTCGATATGCATTTTATTTGAAAAAAAAACTTAAAGTTTTGTAAGTGGAAGAAAAATTTCGCCTTGTTTACCCTTAAAACGGATAGCAATTAAATTTGTATACAATTTTAAGGATATTAGTATCTCGATACGTGCGTTGCACGTATATACCGAGTTATATAAGAAATTTTGAGTATTGCAGATTCAAATCTTTAGTTTTCTTGATAAAAATAAAGAACTCACCTAATGACTTTCGTATAGCGCTTGCATTCACAATCTAATTTAGCCGCAAATCCTCGATTATTCTTAGTTACTTTGATACTTCGGTCAAGCAAAGCATCGACTTCTTTTATGTTTAAGTTCTAATTTATTTAGCAAAGATTGATGAATACATAATCCCCACTATATATTTTAATCTTGATGCCTAATATGGTATTAAATTTTTCCAAATCCATTATTTCAAATGTGGAAGATAGTTACAACTCTGTTTCTATCATGCCAAACATATTATTGCTTAGTATCAAAAATAGACAAAATAACACAAAATAATTACATATTCACTAAGAATTTTTCTAAGAAATGAAGAAATACAAAATTTAAATAAATTTTATATCTCAAGTTTATTAAATATTAAATCAAATATTGACTTTTTAGTCATAAGTCAAACACCCTTATATTTTGATTATTTCGAGTGACTTTTACATAAGCGTATTGATCAAAACTAATTCACTACACGATTTCATTGTCTAAGTTAAAGCACGGAAATGCTATAACACATATTTCTTTTAAAAATGTACTACTTTTATAGAAAGTTATTACTCTGTAACGAGTAAAAATGGTGTTTGACTCAAAAGATATTGGAACCTTTTTGAGTAAATCAATCAAAGTGAATGAAGCGGTAAATCTTAGCTTAGTATAATAAAACTCTAGAACAAAAGGTATAAAAGATTAACACAATAAATTATATTTCTTAATCTTGCGAGAATGAGTGACCGAACTTTAAGAATGCCAATCTTTTTTGTAGAAAAGTATTACAGTCAGTATTCTTCACTAAAAAGGTAAAAAAGCACCCCCTACAAAGTTGTTTTCCTGCTATATATAAGGGACAAACCCCTTCTGAACCCTAAAAGACATATCATAGGGAATATTCGAAAGAATATTTCTAATGCCCCTTGTTGGGCCTACACTACTGTAAAAGTCGTGCATCCTCTGTTCGATGTCTGTCGTCCTCCACAGGACGTCGAGCTACAAAGATCTCGTCATTTGTCCTATTCGTCAATGGTCGTGGTCATCCAAATTTGGATCCATACAGTTAGTCCCTCTGCTTGTCGAGGTTGCAACTTGGTGTATCCTTGATAAGCGGACACCACCCACTCTTGTGGAGGAATTTGGTTTTACGAAGCGTTATGGCTCAGCCAACAATGGGAGGTTAGCGTGCTCAACAAGACACCAGATAGTGTGTCTTATCGGTAAATGACGTCATTTCCACGTGCGTCATCATTATGCGTGTTTTCGAGACAGTGGTTGAGGGCTTGTCGCTTTGATTTCGGTGCCATTCTGCAGCCTTCCGCTACGATTCTGGCGCCACCCAATCCTATAAATAGGTGGAGGGTTTGTTTTTACAAAAACTCTTGGCCATTTCATTTCTGGTTATCCTTTCTCATCCCTCCCGTGTTTGCTCCAACAATTTTTCTACTTCTTCTTCTCCCATTCTTCGTTCATAGCTTTCTCTGTTATTTTAACATTTTTTCTGCCGAAGAGATGCCTAGAACACATCGATCTCGTGCGGGGGTTTCTGACGCCACCCCGTTGTCCGTGGCACTCCCCTTTGGCGGTGAGGACATGACGATGGAAGAGAGGGACATCTTTCCCACCGTGGAGGAGTTGCTGCCGAGACACCCCATGTCTCGAAGCAACTTTCTCAAGGATCCTCCTCCTACTCATATCCCCGTGCTCTCTGAAACGGAACAAGTTCATATTGATGCTCTTCGTACAAAATATAGCATCCACGCTCATGTTGATATGGTTCCAGCAGGAAGGGACTTTGTGGAAGTTCATAGACCTGGGTATTGTGCTTTTTATGAGTACCCCTTCGTGATCGGTCATTTCTTCCCCCTTCTCCTGTTAGCGGAAGAGTTCTATCGATTTTATCAGGTTTTCCCGGTGCAACTTTTCCCATACACGCTTAAAATACTCCTGTTGTTGACAAAGTACGCAGAGTTGGCGGGGTGCGAGGTTACCGTTCACCACCTTCTGCAATTGTTTTCACCCAGTTTTCATAGGGGCATTATGGTGCATTTGAGGCACCATGGGACAAAAGGGCTGGTGGTTGGGACTGACGACCGAGCAAGTCGCAAATTTTGGCATAAGTACTTCTTCGTCAGAATTGAACACATCGTGTCTGACCCTGCTAGGTTCCCGGAGTGGTGTAACGAGAATCATAAGTGTCGCCACTTATTTTACTCTTTATTTTCTTCTTCATTCCTTATAGTGTTTGTTCGCTTTTCGTTTGCAGTTATGGGGCATCCACCCACCCTATTATAGGTATAAGGGATTAGGTAGCTCGTCTAATGCCCCATACCACGGAGACTCGAGATTAGGTCGCTTTCATGAAATGCTTTGGACCGAGAGTTTCATCTGGTAAGTGTCTTCTCTTGTGTTGCTCCTTGACTATATACCATTGTCTTATTGATACGACTCTTTACGATGACAGGTCGAGAAGCTTCTAGGCGGAGGGCCCTGATCCCTGCATTTTGACATGTTGTTGCTGCTGCAGGAATGCAATTTACCTTGAGTGAATCCGTCCGGAAGGGTCATGCTCAACCGATACATATGGGAAATCCTTCTCGCGATACGGTCGTGAGGGAAGAGACCTCTTTCGTACCGACCCGTCACCTTGTGGACGAATTCTCTAATGGGGATGAGTCGTTACTGAGGAAAAGGAGTAGGGTTGAGCTTGGGAAGGATGTGGCCGTGGACACTGGTAAAAGTAGGACGGGTGCATCGCAGACGGCGCCTGTGCCTACGTTTATGGCAGTGCCATATGTCACACCTCCTTTTTTAGCTACACCCCGCAAAGGGGCGTAAAATGGAGTTTTTCCAATTAAAGGACAATCGAAACGGAATTTTATTTAAAGATTCAGAGTCGCCACTTGGGAGATTTGTGGTATCCCAAGTCACCGGTTGAATCCCGAATCGAGGAAAAGAATGACTCTGTTTAACAGTCTGCGCACCAGAAATCCGGATAAGGAATTCTGTTAATCCGGGAGAAGGTGTTAGGCATTCCCGAGTTCCGTGGTTCTAGCACGGTCGCTCAACTGTCATATTCGGCTTGATTATCTGATTTTATACAATTATGAACCTACGTGCAAATTTAACTGTTTACCGCTTTTGTTATTATTTATTCAAAGAATTGCAACGTCGTGAGAATGGATCTCGAATTGTGCCACATAAATGTACCCGTAATTTTCGATACGTTCTAACTTCGTTGAGATTTGGATTTGGGTCACATAAATGTGCACCCGAGTTTAGGAAGATAACATTATTAAATACGCGCCTAAAGATACTAACGCGTTGTTATTTTGAGAAAAGCCATAAAGTTTGCTATGCGGCCTGTCTCGAAATCTAAGCATTTGAAATAACTGTCCGTTGAGGGCCCCGCAGTTTGTGTATTCTTGTTTGTCGAGGCTCGTCTCATTCATTATTTTTTTAAAGGAATTTGCAATGTCATGGAAATACATCTCAAACCACGTCACAATCAATGTACCCGTGATTAACGACACATTTCGACTTCATTGAGATTTGGATTTGGGTCACATAAATGTGTACCCGAGTTTAAGAAAGTAAATAATTTAAAGCGCCGGAAGTGACTTGCGCGTTGTTATCTTTTGTGGAAGGCCGTGGAATTGGCTAAACGGTCCGTCCCTAAGTCTAAGTATTTTAAAACAAATATTTATTGAGGGCCCCGCAATTTTGTATTTTTTATTCGGTGAGGCTCATCTCATTTTTTATTCAAGTATATCCTAAAGCAACTATGATTTTCTATTCATTGGTCTCTAAGAATAAAGAAAAATCCTATTTAATTAGCATTAAAAGTTCGAGCTTCAAGTTCAAGTCCGGGTCCAAAAGGAAACACCTTCTAGTTTGAACCCGCTACCTAACTTAAGATCCGCCGCCTGCCGTTGTAAATATTAACAAACCAGCTACCATTTCGAACCAGTTCAACTTTAGCTTTATCATATGAATTGGATTATTGGAGTCAACTATGTGGAATATAAAGCCATTTTTGAGCTCTTTTTACGATTTGTTGAAAAATGCATCAATGTTTAAAACGGACATCAAGCTAACATTAATCACTAACATTCGAGAACTAGCACTAGTTAATAACCTTATTTACATTGCTATTTAAAATGATGTTATTTACTCAAGTGAATTCGCGATTTCAGAATTAGACCTATTAAACTAACATGCTGATTTCCATAAACTATTTGAACTTGTTTTGTGACGTAAAACTATTTGAAACTGTTTCACGACTACTGAACAAAAGAATTAAATACAGTATATTTCATA